GTGGCACATACCTGTAATCCCAGCAACTCAGGAGGCCAAGGCAGGAGGATCCTGAGTTCAAAGGCAGCCTCAGCAACTTAGTGAGGCTCTAAGCAACTTAGCAAGAACCTGTCTCTAAATAAAATACAAAAAAGGGCTGGAGATGTGGCCTCAAGTTTAATCCCCAGTACTCCCCCGCCCCCCAAAAAAATACAAACTAGGTTACCTTGGACTTTAAAAACCTGGAAGATACTGACATTTGAAATTCCACTATAAACCAGTTTAATTAAACCCTGACCTCCAGTTACATTTTCCCAATTGTTACCCTAGAGAAAAATAACAACCACCTTCACTTTCTCAGAAAGATCAAACATTGGAGTCTTCCTGCCTGGCCACTTGGGGCCAACCAACCTCTACCATTTTACAAAGCTCCATATGAAGGAGTAACAGTACATTTTTACACATAGCATTGAAAGTCACTCTCAAATCTTGGTAGTTAAATACACATTTAAATAGAGTGAGTGTGATACAATTCAAGTCAAGTAGCTAGCTTTACTCAGAATGTGAGGACCAATGTTACAAATCTATATCAGAAAGTAACAAGTGATAGAATGACAAAAACTAAGATGGCCAGGAACACTAGCATATGCCTGTAATCCCAGCAGTTAGGGAGGCTAAGGAAGGAGGATCACAAGTTCAAAGCCAGCCTCAGCAACTCAGCAAGATGCTCTCTCTAAATAAAATACAAAAAAGAGCTCTGGAGATGTGGCTCAGTGACTAAGAGCCCCTAGGTTCAATCGCAGATATCTAAAATAAAGTAAAATAAAAATAAATTTTGAAAGGGCTGGGATGTAGTGGTAGTGGTAGAATGCCCATGGGCTCAATCCCCAGTATTGGAAAATAAAAACAAAGAACAAAAACAAAACTAAGGTAATTTCAATTAGACATTTTTTTTTTCCCTTAGAAGGTCAAACCTTTGAAACTTCCCCCAAAGACAGTCAATTCCAGATTCTATTAGAAAGGAAAAAGTTGTAATTAAACACCCAGTGCAAGGGAGGCCCAAGGGTGAAAGGGAAGAGACGATGAGCCATTACTCTCCTTAGCTGGACCCAGGGTCCTAGCTGCAGGAATGCAGCTTCCTTCTCTGGGAATCCCATCTGAAGGTGGACCTGAGGTTGAAATCACTGCTCAGCTGGCTGTGAGCTTACACTGCAAACTCCAGCACCACGTTTTACAAAAGCATTCGGAAATCAATTGGCTGTTTCTGAATGCCATTGACAATGTGAAAACAAACACAAAACACATATGTGCACCTTCTTTTAGAAGGGTTGGATTGTAGTCAACTTCTTGGTTACAAAAAAGTAAATAATACGAATAGCCCACTAACCTTTCCATTGCCACATTGCTTATTAAAATTCTATCAATGTTGGAACAGGCTAGTGTTCTAAATAACTATGAAAATGAGTAACTTTCTAACTGACATTATATGACAAGTCAGACTGTGGAACTAACATGTAAAAGGCCTTAAAGGACAGAACTGGTACCTTTCAAGTCCTGGATGACATAGAGGAGAGTGTCAGACTGGGTTGAGCCAAGATCACCTGCTAGATTTTACTGGAAACTTGTGAAGAAGGTTCCCCATTCTGCAGACAAAGAAAGCAGGTCAGAGAAGCCAACTTGCCTGAGATGGCACCAAACAAGTGGTCTGAAGCAGCTACTTGTCACTTTCAACGCTCCTTTTTAGTACACTAGTTTCCCTAGACCCTTTTATACCAAAATGGAATATTAGTAATAGAATTAAAAATAATAAGTCTCTGCCAAGAATAATGCTCTCACAGCAAGATTTCTTAGAAGAGATTAGGGCACAGATGCACACAGAGGGACGCTCATGTGAGGACACAAGAAGATGGCCATCTGCAAGTCCCCAAAAGGCCTCAGAAGAAACCAACACTACCAGTACCTTGATCACAGCCTTCCAGACTCCAAAGAACAAATGTCTGATGTTCAAGCTGTCGATGTGAAACTTGGATGCTGCAGCCTGAATAACTATGGTGTGCAGAGTACAAATACAGAAACAGTTCTTTAGACTATGGTGTATTTAAACTGAATGTGACCCTCATTAAGGATATAATTAACAATACACATCGCTGATAATGGCTAAACCATTTCTGCATTTTTTGATAAATGCACTTTTTATAATAAACCAATGGCCACCTAGGTAACAGGATGTGATTATTACCCACAGACAGACACTCATTTTGTATGCACTGATAACACCCCACCCCCAGACCCCAGTAATCTCTACCCTCTGCAGGGTACTCAGAGATGATTCCAGTCCTGATATGATGCACATTGTGACATCTGTCATCTCAATTCATCTTTTTTGAATTTAACACACTCTTCACTTCTGCAGGAATATTCTAAAATTGACCACAACTTTGTCCTTCCTAATATGATCTATCAGATTTGGGTTAAATTAAGAAAACACACATGGTTAGAACTATTTTACCATAGAATTATAGGAAAACTTAAAGCAACACTTTGTTAAAATCAGGTGCCCTGGCAAAACCAGCACAAAGTAAACACAATACAGGATAAGACCTATTGCAATTTCCTCCCTCTTAAGCAGTAGGCAGGGACTTTCCTCATTTTTCTAGTGAATGCCAGAGACCCTCACACCTAGGCATGTATGAAAGGCAGACCCGGTGCAAAGCAATTATCAAATTTCTTACCAAGGTGGAGGAGACAAGTTCAAGGCAAAGAGCATTAAAGCTAATTTTACAGTGTATATGTAAAGACCGTTCAGAATGCTGAAATTTAATGCTGATAAGTTAACTTAGTAGAATTAAAAGAGGTGTTCTGTCCTTTCACAACCTTTCATGATCTGCTTCAACATTTCTGCCACAAAAACAGTATTCTGAAGTTGCATACAAGCAGCCTATCTAATGAAGTATTTTAGTTAAGAGTTCACATGTGCATAAGCTACGTCACAGCAATGCAAATGCAAGAAAACCACACCAAATCTCATGTAACAATACTGTTTACTGTTCTTATACCTAGGATGTCAGGCTGGATGGCTCTCTTCTCATCTTTGCTTGGCTGATTTATACTGCTTTCCCTAGGATGCACAAATTCAAAGTAATGGCAGGAAAAGGAAGATAATAAAGTAGAGCCAGAAGTAGGGCCAGTCAGCTACTGTGATAAGGCAATGCAGGAGTACCCAGGACAGAGCTAGCAAGGGCAGACACACTGCATGGCCCAGAGCCCTGGCTTAAAATTAAGCAGAGAAAATGCCACTACCATTTTTTTTTTTTTTTTGCAAACTTATATGCCAAGGGAATACCCAAGACCACCTGTTACTTGATTTACCAACACCAGTCACAACCAGAAGGGCAGAGGAGACTAGATATGACCAGAGAAATAAAGACTCACTAAATTCTCTGAAACTCTGCAGTCCATAAACTTAGAATTATGAGACACAGGGCAAATCAATTACTGTAAAAATAAGATGCACATTAAGAAACCCAGGACTTATAAAGACATTAATTTCTCTAAAGAGTAACTTTGCTACCAGTTGTAATTCTTAGTATACAATAAACAGACACCTATATTCTAGTGATTGACCTTCTATGAGGCTCAGTTTGGAAATAAAATACTTTCATGCTATTAACTCATGAAATAGGGTTAGAAAACATTTTTCATGGTGATTACATGATGGTTTATTCAAATCATTCCAACTTTTTTAAGTTGACTTTTATTTAACACACAAAAATCCCACTGAACTAATTTAACTATTAGGCATCCACAGAGCCATTCACGGCATAAAGCTGAGAGGGGTGGAGTTCCCGCTGCCCCTGTAATCCCAGACAGTAGCTTCCAGTCCCCTCCCAATCCTCACCTATAAGGCAGGAGGAGAGTGGTATCCTCTATGCTGAAATGCTAGAAAATAACAATGAAATGTGTAGCACATGTTGAGTAAGGTACTTATTAAGCATTTACTAATGCTTTATCAATGTCAAATTCTTTTATCATCACTGAGCTTTATCACACCACAAATTTCAAAAAGGAGGGTCCATCCCTCCAACTGTCCCATACATACCAGTCATCAAATTTCACCCTTCAGACATTATTAGGAAACACTAAGCTGTGCCTTCAATAGACACCAGACAATGACTAATGTGCCCTCAGCAAGGCAGGCCAGGGAATCTAGACTGCGGTGAGCACCTGTGCACCCCCATGACTTCCAACTTCCCTGCATGCTTCACTCCTCAAGCCAGGTGGACTATGCCCTCCACCTGACTCAGAGGCTCCTGTGGTCTTGGGTGAGAACTGTCATAACAATACAAGCCTAGAATCCAAGGGCCCTGAAACCCAGGTTCACATGTATCCCTCATCAAGTACAAATCATTCTCCTACAAGCAGGGAAAAGGTGACCTCCCTAACGTGGCCTTCAGCATTAAGTCCTTTGGCCAGACAAAGATTAAAAAAACAAAAACAAAAAAAGAATCTAAATAAAGTGCTTATCATAAACTCTGTATTCAACCTGCTGAATAAAACTAGCAAGATAAAATATACAACACACATAGGTGTTAACATCACCTTCATTTCTTGATCCTTAGCACGGTGGACTGACTTTTTCACTGTAGAGTCTCACATGGATTTTTAATTATAAATAAAAAGATATCTAAATAGGAATAAAGATATATTCAAAGGAAGAATAGATATGATGGTACAAAATACACATTACTTAATTCTACTTAAAATTGTTTAAAATTACGATAAACCAAAAATTTATTATTGATAAATCCTAAACTATTGTAAAGTTAAAATTCCTGCAATACTGATTACTGCCCCCAGGCTTTCAAGTATTATTGAATGTTATCAAACAAAACTTCTATTTCTTTGTTTCTATTCATATCTGACATTTACACATGTTAAAAAAGGTTATTTGGCTTAAAAATATTTCTTAGTAGCAGGTTTAACACATCACATTTTGCTCATGAGAACAAAATTTACAGTCAGAAGTTGCACATAAAGGGTTTATTTTAAATGTTTTAAGGATAGGATAGAGTTACATCATAATTATAAAAATTACTTACAGAATTAACAGATTTATATTGTGTATACTTCTAAATGCAGAGAACAGGGAACTGTCTACACATTGTATAAAATAAAATTAAAATTAAAAATGAATTCAAGCTCGAATGATGAGGTCATTTACCTAGTTTTAAAATGTGAACACGAAGACCTCTGAACTCTACACATTCATTCAAACTGCACTAATGGTGGAAAATACAAAGAGCGCAGCATTTCCAAGGAACCACAGTCATTTCAATCATAATTAGTCATAATAATTGTTCCTGTTTTGTCTTTGGAGAACTTTCACTTTTTTAAGACAATCAGTTTAAGAGTGTTTTCAGGCACTACAATTTGTGACAATCAGAACAGTCTTCAAATGGGTCTACAGTGTTCAGAGATTCAAGCCCAATGCACTTCGGGGTTTGGCACATAAAACAAGAATAGAAATGAAATCTGATTTAGAAGTAACTGTGATTTTTTAAAGAATGCACAGTCCCTTCAAATGCTGCATGACATATACAACTGGAAAATCACCTTCTGTTGGCACTACATTTGCTTCACCAGTGCATTTTTATCCTACAACCACTAGAACAGCACAGTAAGCAAATATACAGGAAACTGAAAGAAAACAAAAAGAAAGAAAACAAAACCTAAATATCTTTAACATGCAATTTTAGTTATTACATTGAACATTCTACTTAGAATAGAGCATGCAAAAAAGGATGGTCTGCTTTTACGGTTCTCTGAAGTTTTACGTGGCAGCCTGACATCACACACGCACGCACACACGACACAATACTAGAGCAGGTAAATGAGAAAGGCCAATAAATTTTATACATAGTCATGTCTTGTGTTTTCACAAGTCCCATGAAAATTTTGGAAATTAATGTTGAATTCCTAGAAGAAGGAACCAACATTCAGATACCAGAAAAATGCAAGCAATGCATGCAGATCTGAAACATGAGCCTAAGACGAAGCCCAAGATAAGTGGGCGTGGGAGCAGAATTAGTCACAGCGTCGTTAAGTGTGGTGTAAGCCACAAAAATTAAAAAATGGGGAAAAAATGGAAAAACAACCAAAAAACATACACATAAACAAAAAACCCTTCCCCTTCCCTCAGCCCCAAAGGCAACAAATGGAACAATGATTAAAAACATTATCTTTATCATTATCATCATGTTGCATTCCTCTAGAGACTGGGAGATCGTGGGTATATTAAAGTCGCTAAAGCAGCTTGCAGAAAATACCACAATGCAAGTCATTAGGTAATGCTAGAAGTGTTTCAAATGACCCAACCCTCAGAACACTTCAAAAGGAACTTTATTTTCGGCCTGAAGTCACTGCACCATATTCTGCACACTGTCTGTGCGTGCTGGACACACTTGCGGACTTGTGCCACAAACGTCAGTATGGGGCTCTGGGAGCCAGGCTCAGCTTTGAGATTTACATGCAGGGGAGAAACAGCAAATCTGCAGGACGACACCTGCTCACATACGCACAGAAAGCATCTATGACTAGGGTATCACAATTCTTTGAGAAGCTTGTCCCTGGCTGCCTGTGGTGAAGTCCTGAGCACAGGGCAACTGCAGCCAAGGAGAGAAGAAAACTGAGGTACTATGTTCACATGGTGAGCAGTCATTACCATCCAGAAGCACAAGGCACAAGCCCTCGTGAAGGCTAAAAAGGGCATCGAGCAAACCATGCGTTGTGAGGCTACGGAATGATTTCTAACATCAAGAACAGCCCAACAGAGATCGTTCAGGCCCCTCGAAAACCTCTTGTGTTTGGCTGACAGCATGCACATGTAGGTTCTGCCCAAAATGCAGGTTAAGGTTTCCACTAGAGACGGGTTTCACATACTGCCTTTATCCTGGCTGTCAAACCACCAGGTTCTTTGAAAACAAAGGGAGAGTAGCCATTTGGCTGATTAACCATCAAACAACCTTGCAGAAATAAACCACAAAAGGACTCTGTGGTGAAGGGCTGCTATCACACTCACAAGCCAAGGCAGATGACTGGGCTTTCTATGGTAACACATCACTGACATGCAAACCCCGAGGGGCCACTGAAGGGCATGAACCCACCTTGACAGACACCTGGAAGTAAGAACATACACCACCATAAAAGATGTCAAGAGACCAAGCTGTTATTTGTCCAGACATTTTTGAGGGGGAAAAGCAGTGGAGAAGAGACAGGGGACAGAAGAAACCTTCTGATCATAATTGTATATCATCAATAATAGTAATAAAAATTAGAAAGTCCCAGAGAACTCGTTAGAAGGCAACAAGGCCATCCTTAAAACTTACACTTCTAATATAAAAGCACTGTTCTTCCAGGAATTTACCACATACTCACAAACCATTGATGTACTGTGCCTTTAAATCCGTGTACTAAATTTAAGATTACTGGTGTCAAATAACAAAGCAAAATATGCCTTCCAAAACACACCTATATTATACCATGTGAACCAAGGACCTGGGCTTTGCCGAAAGTATTCATAATTAAAATGTAAACAAAAAATTTTTTTACAAAGCTTAAAATTAAAGGCAGCCTTTTACCCAGATTTCTCACCAGTTTATCAAATTCTAATGTGGGTCATTAACTGTTCAAAAGTAATTCATTTTTGGACTTGTGGTTTAAAGCCTCCAGACTGAAAAGGTGCTCTGAACTTCTGACTTTCAAAACAACTTGAACATCCCTATGTGCTTCCTGTGCCTCAATTTCATTTTAAATAAAGAGCAGGAATATTATAAATATGATTGACTTATGTCAAGCATTCCTGTTAAACTGGAGAAAACAGTATCACCCCCATCCCAATCCACAAGGAAAGGACTGCCAGTGGCGCGCATGTGCACGTGGACCCCTGTGTGTGCGTATGCATATTATACACACAGGCACACAGATACATAGAGACAAGTAAATATCGATACACATTATCTCAAAAAAGGCAGTAACAAAAATACCAAACTATGCTTGCATTGTGGCAGTGGAATAAGACAGTGTTAGAGTGAAGGGGGAAATGGTTAGGATCTATTACAGATTTAAATGACTATGATACTAGCTTAATTTTTACCAAACTTGCCTGTAACTCCTCTCCCAACAGACTTCTTATGAGGAGTCCTCCTTACACAAAATGCTTTGTGTTCACATCAATCTGTACTATTCAGAACAAAACCAGTTCTGCTGGCAGAGATTGTGGGTTCGCAGGGACATTTAAGCTTTCATTAAACTGGAAAGCAATCAAGTCTTTATGTCTACAAATTATACATTTAATAGTTCCACAAATTTGGCAAAGTTCATGATGACATCTAGGATGTTTTCACCAAATCGTAGACATAAATATGGAAATCATCATCAAACTTGATGAAATAGACGGATGGTTTGGCTTCTACTTGATGAATGACCATGCCAGTCCTTTTCGAGCCATCTTCTTTGGCATATTCCACTTGTTTGCCTACCAGGCTGTCCACAACTTCTCCTGGTTCCCTTTCTGCTGGAGGTGAGTCATCTGTGACAGAAAGAAGGGAGGAGGAAAAAAAACTTAAAAATCAATTTTAGATAGCAATTCATGTTTATTGTAATAATTTAAAAACGTCTTAAGTATCCTGAATCCATCATCATTATCTGGACCAGCAGTCAGATAACTTTTTATTGATGGGCCTAATGGTTTCTGTCCCCACCATTTAACTCTGCAACTGCAACAGAAAAGCAGCCAAGGATGATACAGCAATGATTCAATGTGCTGTATTCCATTAAAACATTTACAAAATGGTTTGTCAAATGACCTGTCTAGATCGATATATAAACAACTTTAAAAACGATGACCCAAAATTGCTTTGGCTCATGTTAAATTATTGCTAAAATTACTTAAAAATTCGACAGACTCTGAAATAATATAATTTCAAAGCAGATAATTCCTACAGACAATATGCTATTCACGTTAAAATATCTTAAGTAATTTTTAGTTTTATTGTCAACCTCAACTTCAATGCATTTTACACGATCTTCCTAACCAACTTTAAAATTAAAAAATCTATTAAAATAGATGCTCTCTGAACTCTATCCCCAGGCCAACTATAACAGAATGTCTGAGGATAGTCCAGATATTTGTATTGTCTACCAGGGCCCAAGGGAAATGCAATGGTTGTAACCTCTAGGAAAAACAGGAAAAAAAAAAAAATAAGCAGCAAACCATCACCATCAACAACAAAAGATAAAGTGGAAAAAGAAAGGGGGTATGTGTGATACAATGCAGTTACAATTCTAATAAACTCTGCATGGGTTCTGAATAACTCAAGGTTCCTTTCCTGACAGTAACAGATGGTCTTCAGGTATGGTGACCAGATTTCCACAAGACAGCTGTGTTGCCCTGGTATAATTAGTGCACCACTTCTTTTTCACAAGTGTCCTAGTTTGGATCGTTTAATGTATTTAATTAGCAGTAGTTTGTCTCTTTAGTTACAATAAATTCTCTCACTGAATGACACTCCAAAAACTGCTATTCTGCTTTCATACACAATACAAATTAAACAACTGCAAATATTCAGTTCTCTAAAAGAGGGAAACGGAAAAGCTATCTACTGCATCATACTGCCATACTTTCACAGAACTTGAGTTTAAAAGGATTCCAAATATATAACTTCACACAAACTTCACAGGCTTACTTTATCAGTAACAGGGCCAGGATTCAAATCACAGTGATAAGACCATTTCAGAACTCCTTATATCAGAGCATCGCCATGGTTTCTAATGATAAATAGACTTCCATACCATTCACAAAAAATTTAGAAATTTGGAGAAAGGAATGAGAAGGGCAAGAAGCAATCAGAAAGGTAATTGTGCACTATCTATCTTTAGGTTAAGAGCACTTATTTTGACTGGCTGTTTCTCTGTTAAAATGTTAAAAAATGAACTTCATACAGGGTGGAGAAATATTGTCATATAAATTCTTTTTAAAAAATTTTTTTAATATTTTTTAGTTTTCGGGGGACACATCTTTGTTTGTATGTGGTGTTGAGGATCGAACCCGGGCCACACGCATGCCAGGCAAGCGTGCCACCGCTTGAGCCACATCCCCAGCCCTGTCATATAATATTCTAATGAAAATTTAATTTCCAATTTTACACTATTACTCCCTTATAACAAATGTATAAGCACTTTTAAAAAAATCTTAAGAAGTAGAAATTCAAGGCCAGATGAGCAGATGATTGTCAGACTGCTAATATAATGTCCTAGGTCAGAGATCAATGTGTTACAGGAGGGGCTAAGAAGTAGTTTTAAAAAGAATAGGTTTGCCCCCCACCCCCAAAAAAAATTTCATTCACAACAGTAACAAAAAAATATTTAGGACCAAGTTTAACAACAACAACAAAAATGCAACCCTTACACTCAGAATATTATAAAACATTATTGAAAGAAATCAAATATCTCAATAGATTAAAAAAAGCATTGATGCTTATGAACTGGAAGGCTTATTAATATTTGTTAACAGGGGCTGTGGTCATGGCTCAGTGGTAGAGTGCTCCCCTAGCACGTGTGAGGCCCTGGGTTCGATCCTCAGCACCACAAAAAAATAAATGAATAAAATAAAGGCATTGTGTCCATCTACAATTAAAAAAAAAAAAAAAGATTTGTTAACAGGATGGGGACATAGATCAGTTGTAGAGTGCTTGCCTCACATGCACAAGGCCCGGGTTCAACCTCCACCATAAACAGACAGACAGACAGGTAGATAGGTAGGTGGATTTGTTAACATTGCTAAGATGGCAATACTCCACAAACTTGTCTATAGATTCGACACAAATCCTCTCAGAATACCAGCAGACTTCTTTATAGAGACTGACAGGCAGATTTCAAAAATTGTACAAACTTGCAAGGGACCCAGAATAGACAAAGAAACCCTGGAAATGCACAAATTAAGAGCCTCACACTTCCCAATTCCATATTTTACTGCAAAGCAATGTAATCAAGACAGTGTGGGAGCTGTGTAACCGACTAAGGAATGGAACAGAACTGAGAGTTCAGAAATATACACAGCAAACTGATTTTCAACAAGGGAAAGAGGAAAGTTTTCCAAAAAATGGTGCCCAGACAACTGAATAGAAAAAGAATTATTGAACTTTTACCTCAAGATCATACACAAAAGTTAATTCAAAATGTAAAAAGCTTAAAAAAAAAAACTCTTAGGAAAAAAACACAAGAGTAGACCTTGGATTTGGCAAGAGATTCTTAAGTACGACCCCAAAAGTACAGCAACAAAAAGGAAAATAAAGATAAATTGGACACAAAAGTTAAAAACTTTTAATGCCTCAAAGAACACCATCAAGAAAGTGAAAAAAGACAACCAAAGAGAATGGGAGAAAGCATTTGCAGATCAGGTATTTAAAAAACTTGTATCTAGAATACTGACTTACAACCTGTAATAAAAGAAACTTGAAAATCAGCAGGAGGCAGGAGCAGTACAGTGACTTCTGGGAAGTACAAGAGAATCCCAAGTTCAAAGTCAGCCTCAGCAACTTAGTGAGACCCTGTCTCAAAAACAGGAGGGATAAGGGCACCCAAAGGAGAACTTAATAGACATTTCACAGAAGCAGATACCTAATGTCCAATAAGCACATGAAAAGATCCCTTTGACACCAGTAGTCATCAGTAAAATACTAATCAAAACCACAATAATATACCACTACATATTCACTAGAAGAATTGCTTGTCAGGTAAAACCAAGCATTGGTGAAGATGTGGAGAAGGTAGAACCCTCATCAACTGCAAGTGAGAATGTAAAATGCAATTCTTTGAAAATTAGCATGGCAGTTCACCATGATACATCAAGTTACCATTATGAACCAGCAATTCTACTTTTTGATACATTCAACAGAACTGAAAAGAATGTCCACACCTAAACTTGTATACAAATATTTATAGCAACAACATTCATAATAACCAAAAGGTGGAAACAATCCAAATGTTCATCAATGAATGAACAAACAAAAAGTGTGGTATTATGCATACTAAAGAATCATATTTGGTCATTAAAAGAAACCAAGTAATAATACGTGCTGCAACATGATGAATCCTGAGAACGTGCTAAGTGAGAAGACGAGTCACAAAGGACCCCACGCTACATGATCCATGAACATGAAGGCACAAAACAGGAAGATCTATACAGGAAGTTAATTATTGGTTGTTTATGGCTGTGAAGTGGGGGAATAAGGGAATAGTAGGTAAAGACACAAAGTTCCTTTTAACTAGAACTGTCTGCTGTGAGGACTGGATGTCTTTTTGAGTACACTGATGTTCATAAAAGCTACTGTACTGTAGCTTTTTTAAATTGGTTAACTATGAGGTATAGAAATTATATCACAATAAAACTGTTTTTAAAATCAGGCTTGATAAAAGCAGGTTATACCGTTTTCTACCTTCCCCACATGAGTTCAAATTACCTGAAAGTACTTGTGGAAGCAGCACAATGGTCTGTCTAAATACTGACCCAGTGATCTAGTTGCTACTAAAAGCTTCCCCAATTTAACAGTTTTCTAAAATCAGTATTCTTTAAAGTAAAGTCAAATAAGTTCCGATAAAATGATCAGCCTATAGAAATTAGTTTAATATAACTTTAAAATAACCTTCTTTTACAAAAGAACCAAATGCCAAGCAGAAGTAATCATCAAACATTTTCTAACCTAAAATTTATGACGAGAGGTTGAAAACTGTGCCACTTATTCTTGTGAATGACTAAAACAACAACATATTCAAAAAAATATATAGGGGCTGGAGTTGTGCTCAGTGGTACAGCACTTTCCTAGCATGTGCAAGGTTTGATTCTCAGTACTCCATAAAAATATAAAGATATTGTGTCCATCTACAGCTAAAAAATTTTAAAATTAATAAACATAGCTGGAATAGTTAATTATCTGAAGTTAAAATCCAAATTCTTTTTTGAATTATCAGAAATAAAAGTTGCCAACATGTACTCACTGGAGTCTGGCATGATGCGAAGGTCGCCTTCTTTGTAGTCGTCTAGCAGCTGGTACATGTACAAGACAGGGTCCTTCTCATAGGTGATGTAGAACCACGTGTTCATGACAGGTGCCCGTGCTAAGACCATTCCCCTCCACTCATCTTTAGAGCCATCCTCTGTCTCAAACATATGTTCCACCGCTTTGCCAATCATTGTGTCTGCTAAGTGTGCATCGCTGATTCGAGATGTTGCTGGGGATTGAAAGAAAAAAAGAGCGAGGGTTCGGCAAAGTGTCTTGCTGTGCATTTATTATGGAGACTGAATTTTAGAAATGAGGCTACTTGAAATTGTGTCCACGCAATACATTAGAAAACATAAAAGTCACTGAGGAGGACGGGCTTTCAGAAGACAAATGTGATGGGAAGTATTTTGGATTAAATCAGGACTCATCTGTTCTCAGTACTGTGCCTAAATTAGAACTATTAATTGTTCATTCAAGGTATGAAGTATTTTTGTTATTGCTTAAGTTATTTTAAATAGAGATAATTTCAGACTTACAGCAGAGTTGTAAAAATAGTGTTCTTATAGACAGTTGACCTTGCTTCCCGCTTCGTGTTGGTCCCCTTCATATATCCAAAGAACATTTATTGAAACAGATTAACATATTCAAGGCCTGAAATTTTTTGCTTTAAATGATTCTTTGGTTTTTCTCAACCTTATTTCCATCTTCTGTTAAAACAGTTTTTACTTTTGCCCCTACAATCTATTCTCTATAGCAACAGTGATCGTTGTGGCATTTACATCAGATTGAGTAATTTAAAATGTTCCCATGTCTGCCCTGCATAATTTAACAACCACTCCTGCCCAAGGCCCACTGACCTGGGCCACCTAACCTCTGCTCTTCCTCTGCACTGCCCATATCTCAGTTGACCCTCCACTATTCCCAGATGACCCTGCTAATAGCCCTCCCAGGTTGGACCAGTTCGCCTCTTCCTAGAGCACTCCTTCTGCCTCATGTTTCCCTCCTGGGCGGTTCTCCATGACCCCACCAATCCTAGTCATGTTATCCAGCTATATATATATATAATTTTCTTTTACTTTCTTTTAGTTGTACTTGGGCACAATATCTTTATTTTATTTATTTAGTTATTTTTACGTTGTACTGAGGATGGAACCCAGGCCTTGCACGTGCTAGGCAAGTGCTCTACCACTGAGCCACAGCCCTTACCAGCTATTTTTTTCTTTTCTTTTATTTTCTTGTTTTTTTTAGAGAGAGAGAGAGAGAGAATTTTCTAAATTTTTTTTTTAAGTTTTCAGTGGACACAACATCTTTATTTTTATGTGGTGAGCCACAGCCCTTACCAGCTATTTTTTTCTTTTCTTTTATTTTCTTGGTTTTTTTTTAGAGAGAGAGAGAGAGAGAATTTTCTAAATTTTTTTTGAAGTTTTCAGTGGACACAACATCTTTATTTTTATGTGGTGCTGAGGATCAAACCCAGTGCCCTGCGCATGCCAGGCGAGTGCGCTACCGCTTGAGCCATATCCCAAGCCCCTACCAGCTATATTTCTTAACAACATTCCCCACCATCTAAAGCCACCTTGTTTTAGGTATCTGTTTGCTGTCTGAACATCCTCATGAAAGCAGTGGCCTTCCCCTGATATTTGTTTTAGTGAAGTAGGACGGAAGAGGCTAGACACTGGAGGGAGGAATTTTTAGGAAGCAGGTTTACCGAGTGCAATCAGTCCAGAGAGGGCTCTCACCTAAAATTCTCTGAACAAAGACTTTGGAAGTTCTTTGAACTTTATATCCAGTGGGAGGAAGGGCTTAGAGGTTTTACATAAAAGTAATTTTTCCTCTTTTGGGTTCTTAGAAGGTGCTCTTCTCCCCATTTCTTAGAACAGTCAGGGATTTTACAGGATATACCACAAAAGTAGGGTATATCCATCAAGTCTGCAGTTAAATTTAGTTTTTGCAAGACAGAGCAGAGCAACAGGAAATAGGGCATCTAGCCACACTGAGCCCTTCTGCAGATGTCTCAACTGATATTTTATTAACTAGAACAACTGTGATTAGGGTCTTTGAAGAAGCGTAATTAAGAGGCATTGGTAGAGGAGGGGCTGCCACTACAACAGGATTTCATGAGACAGCCCTTGTGGCTGATGGCACAGGCTTCCCTAGTAGTACACTGCAGCCCTACTCCATGATACTTTAGAACGTAGGTGGAGTGGACCACATCTGTAATCCAGTAACTAGGGAGGCCAACCTCAGCAACTTGGGAAGGCCGTAAACCATTTAGTGAGCCCTTATCTGAAGTAAATAAATAAAAGGAGCTGGGTATACAGCTTAGCAATAAAGCACCCCTGGGTTCAATCTCTAGTACCAAAAGAAAGAAAGAAAGAAAGAAAACCAAGTAGGTGGAAATTTAGTGCCTTCATTTTTTTAAATATGAGGTAAAAGTTTATGGAGGATCCTCTCAACTTTAAGGTTTTCTCTAGTCCTCAAATTTCAGATAACAATCTAAAAACAGATCAGCCCCCCCCCCTTACTCATTCATCAGGTTACCTCTGTTAAAGGGAACAAAAATTCAAGTTTCTTAAAAAATGTTTTGGAATTCAATTTAATCAGGATACTCAAACATACATGGTGGTATGTTTGCTTACATATGCAGTAACAGAAATTACACAGAATTACCCTCTGCATCACACCAAAAACAAAACCCATCAGGCTCTTCATGCCAGCAGATCTGAGATTACGACTCTCAGAACTCCATTATATTCTCAAAAATTACAGAGAACATAAAAGAGCATTTGTCTATATGGATTATACCTATCAATATTTACTGCTTTAGAAAATGAAACAAATTTCAAAATATTTAAAAGTATCTATATAGAAAATAGTTCTTTAAAATGCATTGCTAACAAAACTTAGCTCAAGGGCACAATCTTACATTCTGTACAAATCTCTTAACATCTAGCTTTTAAAAGTAAACTTTATTTCTCATATATGCATTACCATTCATCCTGTTGTGATCTGTTAAAATTATGTGTAAGCATCCAGCTTCACAAAAATATGCTCTTGAGAAAAAGTATCCTAATTGTATTTCAGATAGTTTCCCATATTCTATGAAATTACATCAAAAGGCAACAATTGGTAGTTTCTAAAGGTCAGCTGCAACACAGAATCTGAAACAGTTACCAATAAACTTTCATTGCTCCCCACAATAAAACCCTTTGTCTCCAAAGGGTTTATATATTAAAAAACAAAGAAACAAAATGACTGGATTACAAAAGGATCAGATGACTTAAAACATTTCTCCAAAGATGATACACAAAAGTCTAACAAGATTCTAAGTGAAGCTCAACAGGGCTACTCAACTTCATTAATTACAAATCACAATGAAGTATGACCTCCCACCCATTAAGTAAGGAAGCGGGGAGGTGGGCAGAGAAATGCCAGCAAAGAGATGGAGAACTGGAACCCTGGTGTACCACGGATGGGCTTGTAACATGGTGCAACTGTGGAGGAAAACAATATGACAGTTCTGTTTAGAAAATTCAAATTAGAATAACCACATGACTGGCAGTCCCACTTCTTGCACATATAAGAATCAAAAAAGGATTTCAAAGAGAGAGTTGTACACCCATGTTCACAGCAGTGCTATTCACAACTTTACATGCTACCAAGAAGTGGGTGCAACCCCAAAAGTTCATCGGTGGGTGAATGGATAAACAAATGCGTCATGTCAATGCACTGGACTATTATTTTCAGTGTTGAAAGGGAAGGGAATCCTGTCATGTACTACTACAGGGATGAACCCTGAGTACCTTATGCTGTGAAATAATCCAGAGAAAAGAAAATCTGTATGATACCACTTACATGCAATATCTAGATTAGCCAAATCATAAGATAAAAAGGAGAATGGTGGGTGACAGGGGCTGGGGAAGGAAGGAGAAAGGTGGAGTCATTTAATAGTTTCAGATTTTCAAGATGACAAAGTTCTAGGGATCTGTTTCACAACAATGAGAACATAATGCTATAAACAAATGGTTAAGATAGTAAATTTTACATTTTATGTGCTTTATACCACAATTTTTGAAAACTGTCTACTTTTAAAACCTGTCAGTCTTGCCCTCTGAACACATCTTTTACCAATGTATAGTTTGGTAACATTGAGCACTGCTTTGTGTCTGCTGAGCTATACAGTAGGAAACTCAACTATACACATGTGAAAGAATGATGAAGACAGAAAATTCTCTTAATATTACAAAAGCAATTTAGACCCAGCAAACCTCATGAAGGGTCAGGGCGTCCCTTGACCTTGCCATGGAAACCACACTGCTCTAGACAATACATCCCTTTCAGCTAAGACTTTCAAGGAAAAGTAACTGCTGTAGCTATAGTCCAATGGCAAGCCTGAACCTAATTAAGGAAGGCTGGTTTCTTCCTACACTGAGCATAAATAAAACGCAAAATTTTTTTTAACCCAATTATTGCAGTGACTACTAAGGTCAATGGCAGGTGGTATGAACTGCATTTAGGCACACTACATGTTACTGATTTGCAGTGACAGTTTTGTATTTTTCTTTTCTAACTGCTTTACCATTTACAATAAGCAGTCCATATTTCTTATTAGAAACTGGAGTAACAGCATTACAAAGAACAATATTACATAACTCTTGATCCTGCCATCAGAGACAGGGTTCCATGATGAGAAAAGGATTGGGTCTTGTAGTAACATGCAGAAGTGAGTAGTTCCAGTGACCTAGGAGTCTTGCCTTGAAGGGATAGACTAAAATGCTGGGTCAGGAAAAAATGCATAACAATTAGCACAAAAAATTGATACAAGTGTTTGAATAAATTTTTTGGCAGAATTAGTAACTTGTTGGGAAACTCTTGTCCTGAGAATACAATAACACAATCTGAAGAAAACAAAAGGAAGGGGGATAGATTAGTTTCTTCCCTTGACAATTTGACCCCAAATTTCCTAGTCTCCAAGTCTAGATCAGCTGAAGCTTTTTTAAATGGCACAGACTTTCAAACATAATTCTAAAGCATAAACCAGTATTTTAGGCAATAGCAGCATCCCTGTGATGAAAAAGTTCAAAGTAAATACTCTTTGAGAAAATAACATTAACTTGTATAGCCATCCTATTAAATTCAGTCATTTTTATTTAACATTTGCAAGGCAAAACCAATACGGTATAACAAAAAGAGAGACAGAGAGAGAGAGAGAGAGAGACACACGCGCACACACAGACATTCGCTTCCACAAACCTTGTTCAAACAAGCCCTAGAGAACATACAGCAAAGCTCACATCCTGGTTGCTTACATTTTGGCTTAAAGTACAAATAATTATCATTCATGTAATACACAATGAAAGAAACACGTCACACAAAGACTTTATGATAAATTCCTTATGATAAAAATCTAACAATTTGCCTGTCAAGGCCCAGATAATGGGGGTGGGGGTGCAGATGGTCAAAAATAACCACATGAGAGATTATTATATTTTACATTTCAGGAGGAAAACTATACATCTTTATATCCTTCTCAATTCCTTGAACTGTGGTTTCAGAACTTTGGATCAACTGTTATGGTTTGAGATGACTGACTGAAATGCTTACCAAAGATGTCTCAATAAAAGTTAAAACAGCAACAATGTAAAAGAAAAAAACATGTATTTCTATTTTAATTATCACTTTTAAAGCAATAATGCACAAACAGTAAAAGCAACTTACCAACTCTATCAGGTAGGACTTCAAGCGCAGAAACTCTCTCATCTTTATTAAGTTCTAGTCCGTAAACACAGTCAAATCCATCGTACTTTATAAGATACAAAGAAGGATTCACGGGCACCTGGTCCAGGACGGTCCCCTTCCACTGGGTGACAGGGCCGTTGCCCTCTCTCCACCCATGCTGGATCCTGCAGCCTACGATGTTCCGCCGGGGCTGAGACACAGGCTTGCTTGGCCCCACACTGCTCCGATGTTTTCTGTATTCACACACACACACACACACAAGGTATTATCTCACAAGTATGCATGCCTAGATCCAACACAACCACTGACTTGCAAGTTCTATTACCGAAGTCCCCAATTTGAGCACAAACTCCTGTATGCCACAGTGCCACTTCAGGTAACTTGAGGTGCTCAGCTCCTACCCCATAGCAGTGCTGCTTGCTCACAGGTGTTGAGGTCTCCTCCAGCAACAAGTACATAACAAAATTCATCAGCAACAGGAACTGGCTGAGCCGGTGAACCATGAACTGATAGGAAAAAAAACTACTTGTCCGTAGGAATGTGGGTCCCACTCATAAACACCAGTTTTAGAGGTTCTGCATTTCCTTTAATTCAATCAAACTACAACTACCCAACTAAAAGAAGGGCTGACCACGTGAAATAGATTACAGCAATCACCACAAACTCATATTCTTATGTAACATGGATTCATTTCAAATCAAAAGAAATTCATAACTATTCAAGTTTGCCCATTTTAATGCCCTACTAATTCTGCTCCTACTGGCTTCAACAATATGAATAAACTACACATTTAACTTGTACTTAAACCAAAGTCTAACAGGTACTGATACACACCAAGAGTGAAAATGTTAAGGGAGCTGAAAAGGTCTATAGGCATGAAACTCATTTGGTATCCCATGAGTGAAGAGACTAGTATGTGACATAGGTTAAGTTAAAAAAAAAAAAAATTATGTAGGTTATAATACTTAAATCTATAGGTATATATATAGTTAGTCTAAGTAGGAATAATTTATTCTGGGCTGGTTATATAAATTCAGCCAAGTCAGACTTCTTGGAGGGGAGACACCAGAGCCAACAAAAGTACTTGCCTCAAGAGAAAAACTCAGCATGGAGCCTAAGCTGGGAGCCTGGAAGAAGGGTCAAAGTTAAGTGCAGGAATGCTAGGTTAGGAAACCACCCCATCTTACCTCTACCCACAGAGTTCTGGAAATAGCCAGCAAACCCTTTCTTCCAAGGAGGCAGAGTCCTGCCTTGAGGTCACCCCATTAAAAATCTAATCCCAACTAAGCAAGGTAAGGGCAGAGGAAATGAGAACAGAGGGCAGAGGAATGATCCACCTCCTGGAAGAAGTAGACAGAGATGACTTCAGGAAGGGGATTTGTTTTAAATATGTCACAGGAAAACAGCAGAGGCAGCCTCAGAGCTCTGAAGCTCTGAAGTCCTCCTGCAATCTCCTCACCCCTTCTCAGAGACAGAAAGATCACGGCTGTACAACACACAAAGACAGCTTAAGAAACAACACCCTTGACTGACGGTCTCCTGGGCAATGAGGACAAGCAGAGAAATACGTCCATGAAGCAGATGAAAACTGCTATCTAGCATTAAGCACACAGAAGGCACTGCAGGAAGAACTGCGGTGGGTCCATGTTACAGGTCAACTTGACAGTGTCCCAGGGTGCCTAGATTAAGCAGGGTTTCTGGGGGTGACTGTGATAGTGTTTTAAAAAGAAACTAGCATTTGAATCCATGGGTTGAATAAAGATCTGCCCTCACCAGTGTAGGTGGGCCTCAGCTAGTCTTTTGAAAGCCTGAACAGAAGGAAAGGAAAAGAAAGGAAAGAGGGAGGGATTCACTCCTTTTCTTCCAGTCTGCTTGCCAGAGCAGGACACAGTTCAGGTGCAGCAGCCCCCCGCCCCATGTTTCTCAGGCCTTTGTACTTCAACCTAAAGATATCACCAGCTTTCCTGGGTCTCCTGTCTGCAAGCAGTAGTCTTCCATGGGACTTCTCTGCCTCCATATCACATTGGCCAACACTGCATAATAAATCCCCTTTATATTTATCTATCTCCCACTGGTTCTATTTCTCTGGAGAATCCTAATATAGAAATAGATATCAAAAATAGAAAAGCTCAGAAATAAGACAGCTAGACAAGACACGATGTGAGAAAAAGTCAGACAAGGTAAAGAAACAATTAGCAATTTGAAAAATTCTTTTAGACATGAAGACTAACTAGATGAATATGAGAATAACACCATGGGAGCTTTCTAAGGAAAATGCATAAAAAGTTAAAAGAGATGGTCACACATAACCTCTATAACAGAAGTGTCACAATCTTAAAAAAAAAAAAAAAGGAGGAAAGCAGCCCTTAGAAACATTAAAAACAATAGTTCACATTAACTTTTCTAAAATAATAAACACTTCAATAACACACACAAGCCCTGGAAAATTGGGCCCAGAAAGACTGATGTTGAAATATATCCCAGTAATTAGAAAATACCACCCCTTTGTGGGGGGGCATCATGTGTTAGGTAAAGAAAATGTATATTTTGGCAGCAACACTTTGTGCCAGATGACAATGGGTAACAGATAGGGGAAGGGGACCCTAGTCCAGGATTCAACAATATTCTAAGAATGTGTGTTTACCTTCAGTATAAAAGCCAGATAAAACTGCTGCAGACATGTGAGAAAGTACAAACACTGTCCCAATAAATGTTTTCTAAAGAAGTTATAGGTCTTTGCGCTTTGAATCATCAAGGGCTCATGGAAGAGGCATGAGAATAGGACTGGTAAAAGCAAAGGATGGATGTATTTAACCACAGAATGACAGGGACAAGAAAAAGAACAGGAACACAATTAGCCCTTGAAAAATGCAGGGGTAAGTAAGGAAACCAACCCCTAGTGCAGTTAAAATGTCCACATAACAGCCTACTGCTGTCCAGAAGCCTTCCTGATAACATAAACACGTAGTTTGTACATGTATTATGTACAATGAAAAACGTGCAGGAACTATGAGTGATCACTCTCTGCTTGACCTAAAGAGGAGCTGCTTGCTCACGTGGAGATAAATGCCAAGTGGTAGTTTAAGTGGATGATCACCTTACTTACATGGCAACAGCAACAAGAGGGGACTATGAAATCACAACAGCAGAGCAGCAGGTAAAAACAGTACCTTTATGCAGGTATGATTCAATGCTACACCTTCACATTAGTTCGCATTTCTCTCACTTGCAAACCATGCATGTATGGTTCTCTCAGTGCTCGTGACCATACATTTTGATAAACTTTACCTTCTAATTAGATGTAAGTGTATTTTATACAGTAAATGATAAAATAGACAATAACCTACATGCATCTTAATGGCATTCACGATTACACTTCCCCAACTGTTTCAGTATTTCTAGACTCCATGGTTCATCTAAAAGTTAAGTTTTGTTTTTCCCAAAAAAATCTCCCATAAAAACACCCTTGCATAAGAGGACCCACGCAGTTCAAACTCATGTTGTTCAAAGGTCAACTGTAGGGTGTAATTTTCAGCTGTTCTGACATTACAGATTTAACACAATTCTCAAAAATAAGAGGAAAAGAAATGCAAAATAGAATAAGGGGGCTGACCCCTAATCAACTTAAGACAAAAGTATATTAGATGGAGAAAGAGAGGAGAGGGCAAAGAGCTCAAATCAATATTGTTCACAGTAATATCACCTTAAAAATGATTTTGCATTCAATCCCAACAACCAAAAAACACTGCAATCTGAAACTTACGGGAGAGGAAAAAAAGCATATATGAAGCACTATCAAGTATGTAACTTCTAAAAAGTATACTTCTGGGTATTTTCACAATTTCTAGGAACAGGCAATGATATCCAATTGGCTTCTTCAGAAAACAGCTGGTAAAGATTATATTTCTTATTTTAGAATACAGGAATCCTAGCAATATCTTTTTTTTGCCCTTCAAATAAAATAATCAATTACATATCTTCTTTTGATTTTTAGGCAAACGTCCCTGTAATTTCCCTTTACAAGACTAGGCTTTTGGGCTGGGGATGTGGCTCAAGCGGTAGCATGCTTGCCTGGCATGCATGTGGCCCAGGTTCGATCCTCAGCACCACATACAAACATAGATGTTGTGTCCGCCGAAAACTAAAAAATAAATATTAAAAAATTCAAAAAAAAAAAAAAGAGACTTGGCTTTCTTCACACTTAAAGCAAAGGCTAAAATAGGTTCCCAGATTTCATCAATCTGAAAGTACATGCACCATTTTGTAGTTTTCAGACATTTCATCATAGCCACCAAAATGATTCGGCCACTTCACCAGTGTGCTGGTCAATTTTATATGTCAACTTGGCTATGTCACTGCACTCAAATATCTGGACAAGCAACAGCATAGAAGGCACTGTGAAGGGTTTTGTTATGTTTTGAAGCTGGAATTAACATTTAAATCTACACACTCTGAGCAAAGCAAATTACCCTTTAAGGTAGGCAGGCCTCATTGGGGGGGTGGGGTGGGGGGTGGGGGGGTGGTCCTTCACAGAGACTCACAGAAGGAGCTTCCTCTCAGCTTTTTTATACTGGTTAGCCCTGCAGATTCCAGATTTGCCAGGCCCCCACAATTGTGTGAGCTAATCCCTTAACCCCTGTGTATGCACATGCTCTCTCCCCAGAGAAAGGTTCTCCTTTCATTTTCTTTTCTCACAGAAAATGAAAAGAAAACTTCTCTAGCAAAGAAATAGTTCAGAGAAATAAATTGACCACTTTGATTTTCAACAAAACCACAAGAAACTTAGCCAATAGCAACAACATTTCCAGTTCAATCATGCTTCCTTCCCACACTTACTTCTGCACAAGGGGAATCTGTAGTTCTTCCAGATAACTTTTGATATAGGTCTCTGAATCACATTTCAGTATAAGCCAATTTCATGCCAGGCATCTTCTGGGGTGGGAATAAAGTCTCCTCCTTCCTTTAAGCTCTACCAGCAGCTGGGATCCTTCTCAGAACCCCTCCCATGTACTTCGATTTTAAATATGTGCAATCCTTTTCGGGTAGATTTTATTTCCTTACATCCTCTTAATAAGAAAACTTTAAACATTAATTTTTGCTGTGATAAACAATATTAATAGTGTTATTCTTCACATTTTGCTTCGTTCAATTTGACTTTTGTTTTCATTTCCTCTTTTCCCATCTATGTAGTTATAATAAATGAGGTTCCTTCACACCAAATGAAGCTTCTTGT